AAGAATACAAAGAAGATCTTGAAAATTCAAAGACTAAGTCAGAACTCAACTCACCAGCCAACATTGCAACATAAATGCATTAAAAAAAAAAAAAAAGGACAGAATGTTGGAAAAGCGGCAGCCAGGCCTAGAGTGCCCAGGCACAAAGCAATGGCAACCGGGCCCGGAGCAGCAACGGCCAGGCCCCAGAGCAGCAGCAGCCAGAACCAGAGCAACAACAGCCAGCACTGGAGCAGTCAGACCTGGGGCAGTGGCAGCCAGGCCTGAGGCAGAGGCAGCCAAGCCCAGGGGGGCCAATCCAGGAACACCCAGACCCGGAGTGGCCGGGCCCGGAGAAGCCAGGCCCAGAGCAGCTGGGTTGGGAGCAGCCAGGTCCAGAACAGCAGTGGCCAAGCCCGGAGCATCCAGGCTGGGAGCGGCCAGGCCCGGAGCAGCCGGGTCTGGTGCGGCCAGGCCCGGAGCAGCAGTTGCCAGGCTGGGAGCGGCCAGGCCCAGAGCAGCCGGGTCTGGTGCGGACAGGCCCGGAGCAGCGGCTGCCAGGCTGGGAGCAGCCAGGCCCGGAGCAGCGGCTGCCAGGCTGGGAGCGGCCAGGCCCGGAGCAGCCGGTTCTGGTGCGACCAGGCCTGGAACAGCAGCTGCCAGGCTGGGAGCGGCCAGGCCCAGAGCAGCCAGGTCTGGTGCAGCCAGGCCCGGAGCAGCAGCAGCCAGGTCCAGAGCAACTAGGTCGGGAGCGGCGGTGACCAGACCCGGAGCAGCTGGTTGTGGAATGAACCAGAGCAATAGAGGCCAGGCCCAGAGCAGCCAGGCCCGGAACAGCTTGCTCCTCGCCTGCCCCTGCCCCACGGCTGCCTCTCAGACATGCCTGGAAACTTTTGTGGGAACTTGAGGGTCTGCTGAATCAAGTGATGAAGGCTTAGATCTGGATGTGTTGAGTTAGTATAGCGCTGGGGTGTTGATCTGTGGGGCCTGGTTGAGGCTGGTTGACCTATTTGGAAATGTCTTTTGTGTGAAATATATCATTGGGCATGTGGTGGTATTATTGATATGAGAAAATGCTAAGTAACTGATTTACTATCTGAAAAGGGATTTACTATCGGGGAAAGGGAGGGAGGAAGAGACTGAACATAAACTGCACCTATGGATGAGGACAATGGGGGATGGGGAGGGGGTAGAGGGTGGGGTGGGAACCTGGTGGAGGGGGGAAGAAATGAGGAACCTTTGTAACAATATGAACAATAAAGATTGATTTAAAAAAATGTTTTTGTAATAAAATGTGGTAAAAGCTGGTAGTATTTTCCAACTAAGCAGTAAAAGGAATTATGCAATATGAAATGAAAAAAAAAATTGTAATTTGACTCCGCAATTGGCTAGTTGGAGTCATTTCCCGGGTAGGGGTCTCTGCCTCTTGGGTGGTCTCGTCTCCATTCAACAAATTCCTTTTGGATATCGAAAAGGTCTGGCAGGGGTTCTCAATAGTGAGGTATTAAGCTGAATGATGTAAGATTCTTAGTGATAAGAATTTCCCATCCAAGGAACTTGGTGATTTATAGAAATGTAGAAATCATATAGTCTAGCTGCTTTATTTTCTCAACCAACACAACACATTGAAGAAGCTCAAGCTGAAATGTTTAAACAACTTGCTCACCCAGGTCACACCCTGAAAAAAGGTAAGACAAGGACTTACCCTTGACTCTAGACTCCTATTTTGGTGCTCCCCCCATGACATCACTCTGCCTCTGTGGCTCTGACTTATGATGTCACATAATCTGCAGGACAGCCAGTCCTTCTGTGTATCTACTGAAAGGTTTTACACCACAGCCTCCTCTAAGCCTTTTGCCACTTACCTCAAAACCCACATACTGAGGGAAAAACATCTTCCTGTAAAACAAACCCTTTCTCAGATTTCTCTCACCATCATGGGCCTTCAATTCTCTCTATGAGGCAAAACTCAAACAAGCACTCCTCTCTTATGCACAGCATGCAAAGGGAGGGTCATTGTTTTTCTTAGAAGTCTCTGAGACCACAGCTCAAAAAGCCCTTTTAGATAAGTTTCCATATCCCCTCAGCCAGAGGGAAATAAACCACACCATTTAGATATTTTTTCCTTAAAATCTAGTTAGATTTGATTTCAGTAGATTTAGATTTTATTTTTAGAAAACAAACTTAATTTGGCCCGCACACTAAGTCAGTGTCTTCATGCATAAGAGAGGCATAAATGTGCAAGAAAGCCAGGAGCTGTTACCAACTTTTCCTCCCTGCCCAGAGGAGACTCTCCACCCCTATTTACCTGCAGGCAACATTTAAAATCACCTCAAAATATGGGCCCCTATAAGTAAGGCCGAATGGGAAAGAACTGAAAACAAAGTGGAGGGTGTGGTGGGGTGGGGGTGAGGAGAGATTAACCAAATAATTTATATGTATATATGCATAACCTATGGACACAGATAATAGTGAGGTGCAGGCCTGGGGTTGAGAGAGGAGGGTGGGGGGTCAATGAAGAACAAAAAGGGAATATCTGTAATACTTTCAACAATAAAAATAAATTTAAATAAATAAATAATAACATAAAGTGATGAAAAAAATAGAACCAGAGCCATGGATACTTGGAACAGACTGACAGCTGTTAGAAGAGGTGGGGGGGGGGGGGGGGGGGTGGAGGAGACTAGATAAAAGGTGAAGAGATTAGCCAAAGAACATATATACATAATCCAAGGACACAGACACTGATGAGGTGATGGCCTGAGGGAAGAGGTGGGGGGCTGGGTGGAGTTGGCTAAAGAGCAGTGGAGAATGGGAACATCTGTAACATGTCAACAATAAAAATAAGTTAAAAGAAAAGAAAGTCTTGACAGTGTGATCCTACTGTGTGCAAACACTTGTTTCATTCCTATCACTAATGCTTGAGGGAAAACTGTGAGTATAGATAGGTGTACCCAATATTCTCTTCTAGTCATTTAGTCTGCTCTAAGACCTATACAACTATCTATGGATTTAATGAAACCAAACCTGCTAGTTCAATAAAACAATAGCCCACTATCACTTGACTAAATTACTTGTTCTATTCTACTACCATTTGTTTGAATCAATTCAACTGGTCACCCCAAGGAAAGGCATTCATTATAACAACTATGATTGAATGGTTCTGACAATAGGGGGAAAATACATATGGTGGTCCCGTTTAGAGATGGTGGTCTGAAATGTCCATCCACATGACCTGGTAAACATTTTTTTTTTTAGTTTTGTTACATAATATTAGCTTACTTTGCCTATAATAAATAAGGTTTTAGGATAAAAGGTAAAGAGATTAGTGAAAGAAGTATAAAGTCACAAAAGAAATAATGTAATGGTGTTTAAACTTTAACAGATGAGAAAAACTAAGATTTAGAATAGAAATTGATGCCCTCTTCCCTTTCACATTTTGGGCCCTTCTCTCTTCCCTTTGCCACCTAACTGATCTTCCTGCCTCCTGTCATGCCAAAATCCAATTTCTAAGATTCATTGCTGCTAAACCAAGGCAATTCTATTGTATATCCAATGACTCATTATATTGAAGAAACTCCTCCTCCCTTACCTGTCCACATCAACCAGACACCGCAAACAAAATAGATTACTTGAAATTCCCTAAACATAGCCCATTCCACATTTAGGCTCACACTTCTAAAAACAGAGGTCCCCATGCAGACAGAGCAGAGGTGCAAGGCAACAGCAAAACTATTGCCTCATCTAAAAGAATTGTGGTCTATTTTCCACAAGTGGACAACATGGAAGAGAACTACTTTTAAATACCACATCCACTCCAGCTCCTCACCCCATTCTGGATATGGATCCATGAAATTAACTCCAGGATAGGTGTCTGTCTTCATGACTTTTTATCTATTTTGGGCCCCTACTTCTTGATCTCAAAATCTGCCCCAGTGCCTTTGTTCATCTTGGGGTTAACTGCTCTCTTTTATAGTTTTAACTCAGTATCACACGTTTCCAGTCAGTTTGGTTCACTTTTATATCTAGACTAGAGGCCCAGTGCACAAAATTCATGCACAGAGGGGACTGTCCCTCAGCCCAGTCTGCACCTTCTTCAATATGGGACCCCTTGAATATCCCCCTTATAATTCAGGACCTCTGGCTCCTAACCGCCTCTACCTGCCTGCCTGATCACCGCCTAACTTCCCTCCTCTGCCAGCCAGATCGCCCCCTAACTTCCCTCCCCTGTCAGTCTAATGGCCCCTAACTACCTCTGCCTTGACCCCCACAACCATGGCTTTGTCAGGAAAGAATTCGGACATCTAGAAGATGTCCAATTGATCTGATCTAATTAGCATATTACCCTTTTATTAGTATAGCTTTTAGTCTCCAATTTGCCTAGCACAGAGTATACAGTGTATAAAAATAGATGCACATTGGAATCTCCTGGGTAGCTTTAAATATTACTTGTGCCTCTGCTCCCCACCCCTAGAGATTCTATTGATTGATCTGGGTTGCAGCCTACCTCACCAGAGCCATAGGATTTCATTTCCCTTCACAACCACCTACCATCTCTCTACAGCTTTCAAACCCTATATCCACAGGAAATTGCAGTCTTTCCCTACTTCTGACTTCATGTCATAATTGTATCAATGATCTCAAACGCCACCAAAGCCTTTGCAAATACTGCAACTGTCTGTTAGCTCCTCTTTGTGGACTTTTATGTTATGATAATTTCTTTCACACTTCCATTTATGTTATACCTATTGATATACCTATGAATACAAGAGTAATCCCTGCACACAAATGATTTGTAATTTAACTTTTTTTTTTTTTTTTAGTTTTCAAATAAGCATATTGGACTAATTATCTAATTTAGATAATTATGTGCCATTAACTAAAAATCTGAGATCTCATATATTCACATATATTTTACCTTGACTGTTCAAAAGCATACACAGTGAGGAGGCAGAGATGATCAAAATTTTGATGGAAATGAGAAATGCAAAAAATCAATCTCAGCATTTGTTACAACTCACAGTGGCTGGCACCCCATCGAGTTGTCGAGCCCCATGATTTGACACCAAGATGCCATCCAAACCATGTTTAACTGCCTCCCTGGCATCATCTCCTAGAAAAAGCAAGACAATCATCATAAGACTACTTGACAGAAGGCTTGGGTTTAGAGGTCAAAGCATCAAAATCAAAGGGAACCTGACCTCACACATATATATCTTGCTAGGAACCTATAGCACAGACATAGCAAGGGTTAGATCTAGAATAGCAGATCTATCTTGGTCAAAAAAAGTTAGCAGTCATAACAATTTAATTATAAAATAAAATTATCAGCCCTAGCTGGCTTGGCTCAGTGGCTAGAGAGTCAGACTGTGGACTGAAAGGTCCCAGGTTTGATTCCCAGTCAAGGGCATGTGCCTGGATTGCGGGCTTGATCCCCAGTGAGGGACGTGCAGGAGGCAGCCAATCAATAATCCTCTCTCATCATTGATGTTTCTATCTTTCTCTTCCTTTCCCTTCCTTTTTGAAATCAATAAAAAAATTATTTTAAAAAATAAAATAAAATTATCAGTAGACTGTAAATTGACATGTATCTAAATGTACAATATTTATCATCATAAGGAAGTACTAAGTATATTTTAGCAGTTAACAGAATTACTCCTCTACAATTTGTAAGGGGGGGGTGGGTGGTGGTTAAGGATGTTCTTTTGGACAACCTTCTGGATGAAGCTGGGGCTGCAAGGGAAGCCGGTGCTGGCAGCTGGGGATAGGAAGGCCTACTCTTTCATGAATTTTGTGCATCGGATCGGCCTTTAGTAATAACAAGGAGGGATTCTGTTGTCTCCTGCTCTGGTAGGTCTGGAAAAAGCAAATTACCCTGACATTACAAAGATATGTTATCATAGATGCAAAAAGTCAATAGACAGGCTCTAGCCAGTTTGGGTCAGTGGATAGAGCCTTGACCTGCAGACCGAAGGGTCCCAGGTTTGATTCTGGTCAAGGGCACATGCACATACCTAGGTTGCAAGTTCCTCCCCAACCCAGACCCTGGTTCAGGAACATGCAGGAGGCAACCAACCGATGTGTTTCTCTCACACTGATATTTCTCTGTTTTCTTTCTCCCACTCTAAAAATCAATGGGAAAATATCCTCGGTGAGAATTTAAAAAATAAAAGACAATAGACAGGCTCAATTAAGGAAAGATGGACCTTTTGTAAAGGAAGATACTGGCCTAGAACATGACTATCTGCCATGACTTGTTTTTAGTTAGGAAGTTTAATTTCAGCCCATCCTATGTGGTTACTTTAGTTCTCTGAATTTGTAAGGCCCATCATGGAGGCCTCCTCTGAGCTTGTAAAGTTTAGCATGTGGCTCCTTTTATTCCACACATTACCCTTTGGGTAATAAATTAATCCAAAAGATGCATTGATGACCAACCATTGATTTGAATAGTGTGGTCCACTGTGCTAGGAAGGCTCATTTTGTAGGAAGTCAGCATTTGTCTTGCCAAACAATGGACAACTAGAAATCAGGCAAGACCATAACCTTGGATGGAAGTCAAGTCCAAATTTTTCTCAAAAGTGAAAAGCAGATAAATGTCAGGTCTTATGAGCCTTCATTAAGAAAAACACTCTGGAAAAAATCAATAAAATATACTTTAAAAAAAAAAGAAAGAAAACACTCTGGATCACTTCTAATCAATAAGCTATCATGATCCAAGTTTTGCTGTTTGTCTCACTTCTCTGTATTTTGCATCTAGTGTAACATTTACTTATAGTTTGAGGGCATACCACTTACCTCTTCAGTTTCACAATCTGACCAACTATATTTTATATTTTAAACTATTATTCTCAGCATGTTCAAATAACAAACCATTTGCTAATGCTAGTTCTCAAGTTTATAAAAAATAGTTGGTTCAAGATTGTAATGAAAATCATAATTTGGGAATTTAAGCAGATGGATATATAAAATTGTACATATTTATTAATTCACAATGGAGATCTAGGGAAGAGCCAATTAAGAATAATAAGAATCACAGGAGAATGTGGATTTCTGATTGTTTTCAAATATTATGCTTAAACACCATTTGCAAACTGTTTCACAGAATACTAGATTTTAAATGTTCTCATATTTTAAAGTGGTGCTGGTATTATTTTTCTTCTAAAGTTATAGTTATGTGAAAATTTAAAACCCATGTTTTTTGGACTGAACGTTTGCATAACCCCCAAAAGTCTTGGGTTGCAGCCCTAACTTCCAAAGTGATAGTCTTTAGGGAATATTTAAGGTTAGACAAAGTCATAAAGGTCGGGCTCTCTTGATGGTATTAGTACCCTTATAAGAAGATACCAGAGAGCTTGCTCCCCAACCCTTCCATGTCCTCACAAAGAAGAAGTCATGTGAGCACACAGTGAGAAAGGGGCCTCTACAACCCAAGGAGAGAGCCTGCATCAGAGAATAAGCATGGTGGAACCCTAACCTCAGAAGTCCAGCCTCCTAAATGGTAAAAAAATAAATTTCTGTTGTTCAAGCCACCCAGTCTATAGTATTTTGTTATGGCAGTCAAGCTGACTAAGACATCATGTCATCATGTCCTTGTTGCTCTTGTCAAATCCACCTTTAATGCTATGACAAACCTTAAAAGGCAATGAAATAGTATGAAAGGTGCTCTGATATATAAATGTCAGTGTTTAGTGACTACTTTCTATGTTATCTATTCACCTGTAAGCCCAATTTATTATGCATTTATTATATACTAATAAATGATTGATATTCTACATTTTTTATATTAAATATGAAACCTAATGTTTCTATGAGACTGTTTTGGCTGTTTTAATCCAAGATTCATTACCTTGTAAGATATTACTGACAATTTTTGAGTCACCCATAAGGAAAAGGCTCTAGCTTTAAAATTGAAAGATGATGGTTTTCCCAACCCTAATGACTAATTCATTTTTTACACTTTAATGTTGCTTTATATTTGGACCAAATGTGTTTTATTACAGGTCTTTCTTTTCCTAGATTTCTCATTGCCTTCCTTTTTTTTTCCTCCATTTATCATGAGACTTAAAAAAATATTTATTGTTGAAAGTATTACAGATGTCCCCCTTTCCCACCTATTGACTCCCTTCACACTTCACACTCCCCTTCTCCAAGACCTTCACCAAACTATTGTCTCTATCCACGGGTTATGCATATATGTATATAATTTCTTTGGTTAATCTCTCCCTGCCCTTGACCCATCTTCCCTCTAAGATTCATCAGATTTTAGAGTATCCTCAAGGCCTTCAAACGTTTAACTTACTCTAATCTACTTAAAGCTCCTTATTTTCCCTCTGCAGACATCCCTCCTCCCCACCTGACCTTCCTGCTCTATTCTGCTCTGATTACTCTACCTACTGCCACCCTCATCCTATATATTGATCCTACTCTCTCTGAGTTGCAACTCTTGTAGTCGAGTTTATGCATTCATTTGGCTTATGGTCCCCCTTGTTACAGTGCATTCCCTCGTAACTTTCTAAAGAAAGGAAGCTAAATGTACAGGTCTCTTAAATAACTTCTCTTGTGTCTAAATAATTGGATTAGATCCTGCCAAGATCGGTTTGGCTCAGTTGGACCAGCTGTGCTGGGGGAGGTTGGCTTTGAAAGCTCACTGACCACCAGGGGGGCAGCTCCTGCATTGAGTGTCTGCCCCCTGGTGGTCAGTGTACATCATAGCTACCAGCTGGTTGTCCAGTCACTTAGGCTTTTATAAATATAGATATTTAGAATTGTGGTTTACTCTAGTGATCTGGTTTTGTGTATGAGTCTCAAGCATCAAATCAAAAGTAAAAAATAAAAAGTCAAAATATATGAACTATAATATTTTATGAACCCCATCATTGAGGATGTATGCAGTCCTCCAATTTATAACCAGATGTCTGCCACTATGTAGTTGCAATGTGTGTTTTGAGAAATTGAATATTATCAATAAACAGATCCTCTACAATATAAAAAAGCAATTAACTGCTTAGGCTTAGTTGTCAAACCACATGGATTTGAATTCCATATCTGCTTGTTATGTAAGTGGCAAGTTACTTCACTTCTTTGCACATCCATGTTCTGACCCATAAAATGGGGATAATAATCCACATAAGATTGGTTTGTGGATTAAATTAATTGAATGAGTATATAGAGTAACATCAGATAAATACTAACTTTATTATCATCATCCTCAGGTATGAGAAGTATAAATTAAAAAGACAAATAGATAGAGGAATATTTATTTGCTGGTTGCTTTGGCAAACCTGAGTTTTACTTATAGCAACAAAATTTTTATTTTAGTAAGGATTAAAATTACAAATAGCCTTTCATTTGGAGAAAGTGCTATTTAAGTAACAGTTTGTTATCTTCTATCATTTCAAGTAATTGCTCATGTTTTTCTAGGCAGTGCTGGGAATGTAGGAAATGGCTTCTGGGAAAATAGGATCATGAATGCCAAGAAAGAAAGAAAGAAAGAAGAGAGAGAGAGAGAGAGAGAGAGAGAGAGAGAGAGAGAGAGAGAGAGAGAGAGAGAGAGAGAGAGAGAGAAAGGAGGAGGAGGAAAGGAACGAGAGGAAAAAGGAAGAAAGAAAGAAGAAAGAAAGAATAAAAGAAAAAAGAAAGAAAGAAAGAAAGAAAGAAAAAGAGGTGCAGGGGGGTGAGGGGGGGGAGGGAGGAAAGGAAGGGAAGCTTATGGGAGGGAGCCGCGGGAAGGTTGAGCGAGGAAGTGCAGGCGAGGAGTAGTGGCCGGTTCTTTATCGTGCCGGTTCATTTCACGTTCAGTGTCGGTCTACGCGGCCTTGCATTTGTCCTGCAATACGTTCGTCTTTGCCTGCTACTTCTTTCCTTCCGCACTCCCTATTCCGCTCTTCCACGCTCTCATCTCCACGTTCTCCTACCGCCCCTCGTGTCGCTATCTTTCTCTCGGCCTTTGTTCTTCCTATTTGCTCCCTTCATTTCTTCCCTTCTTTCTTCCCTTCCTTGTTTCATTGACATCTTTTGTTAGCAACTTAAACACTGTCCACAGTTTTACATTTTATATTAACCTAGAGAGGAAACAATGTTGCCTTAGTGAGAGGGTCAAAATGTTCTGATTCAGGAAAATGTTCCTGAGTCTTTGATGTTTCCATTAATCCTTAGAGCTTACTGCTATGGCATTCCATATTTGTTCATGTGTCGGTCATTACCTTAATTGATTGTGAATACAGTGGTCAACAGGGAATAGCAGTTTGCTATCTTACTGGTGCATTACTTCTATATGTAATCTAAAATACCAAAGGGAAATGTAAATGCTCAAGATTTACCCTCAAGCCCTTGGAGCTTTTGGCGCAGGCCTCTCTGTGCTACCTTACAGGAGCTTAGTGAGTAAATTCTAGACACAAGGCAGCGTCTGAAACACAATCAGGAACATGTGAGTGAATGTCTTTAAAAAAAAATTGTATATAGAAAAAAAGCTAGTTAGAGCACAGTTTCTGCAAAACAAAAAGCCATTTTGGAAGTGTGACAACCTTGTTTTTAAAAGATTTTTAATAAAATAAAATAAAAACCTCTAAAACACTATGTTTTTGCTCATAAAGGCATTTGCTCATTAGCATGAGTTCTGGCGAAGACCAAGGCCTGTCTCAAATGCATGTTTGGAGTTTGTGTTGAACTTTTCCAAGGGCAGAGTTTAACCACAGCAAGAGATTCAATCTTATTCTCCAATTTGCTTTCCTTAAAAATGCAATTCTTAAGATGGTGGTAAGGAGAATGTGTTATTGATATCTTTCCAGTTGCCCATGATTTTATGTGCCTGCAAACATAATCTGTGTCTTTCTGGTAGAAGGTCAATCCCTGGGACTTCTGGATGAAAATCTGTGGAAGAATGAACCCTGGATTTCCCAGAACCTGCACTGCCGCCCCTGGGACCCCTCCCCCACACCACACTGAGCATATGCAGTTGTTGTCATAGAAATCATAATTATTTGTTAACTAAATGAAATAAGTAGTTACAGAGAAACCAGACAATGTAAACCATACATGTATGAATAGGTTATTTCCTTTCAAATGCCAAAGGTCTCAACTCTCTTGCTTTTGAGCTCTCTCTAAAGCAAGAAACTCATAGAATTTTCATTGATTACTCATATAGTTTTCACTAAGGATTTCATTAAATCAACATTTGAGCTATCTACTATGTGCAAAACATTACAAAAATATGTGGAAGCAAATTACACAATCCATCTGGATGAGAATCAAAGAGAGATGATTGTGTTAGGTAACAGAATGAAGTTCCAGAAAGCAAAATATTTTTTTAACATAGCACATGATAGTAAAGTCTAAGTCAATAGATTTCCATCATCTCCTAGAGGGCAAAGTTGTAGAAAATGATATATATTTGGAACCTTAAGTTGAAAAGTTAGTTAAAAAATTAAATAGCCTCATTCATCTCATTCTTATATTTGTTCCCTATTTTACATGGATAAATGTGGGACTACCATATACTAAAATGTAATTCTTGGTGTTTTCAAGCCATTTGCCCTAGGCCACCTCTGTAATGAGAGTGAATTAAATGATGGAAACTACACTGATTTTCTAATTCAATTATACCCTTGTACTTATTTCAGGTCAGCCACACCCTGAGCAACAACAGTTTCTTAAATGATTACAAATAGACTCCAATTTTGAGTATTAAGGCTTGAGTATTAAGGACCCCAATTATACCACAATTTTGTGACCCCAATTTTGCCCCATCCATCCACTAGATACATTATACAAAATGTGATTTTTCTAAAACGCTAATCTGATAAGGCTGCTTCCCTGATCAACACCCTTAGCAGTTCTCAAACAACATAAAGTCTACATTCTCCAATACAGCTTACATGTTTTAGAAATTAGTACTCATAACTGCTTTCTTTTGCTATTATTTTAGTCTAAGAGTCATTTGACCTGGTATCATAGCAAAACTCAATCATCGTCTTTCATTCTGATGCCTTCTTTAGCCTTCTCTTATAATTGTTTACACTGTATCTTAAACTCAGCCTTATACTGCATAGATTTCCGCCTCTTCACCTCTTATCACACCCAAATTCTGTCTCTCCTACAAGAATAGGGTCAAAGACCTCAGATGATGATTATTATTCTTTTAATTTTAGCATAATAAATATTTATGTAAGGAATGACTAAGTGAATGAATAAGTAAATGGATAAAAGAATGAATGAGACAGAACCTTCAGGTCAATGTTCTGAGGACCTAGAGATGAATATAGTTACAGGAGGCAGCACTAGTAATCGTGGATGACAATATGAATAGGAGTAAGTAAGTGAAACTTGTTTAAAAGTGTCTGTAACACGAGGATAAATTCACTGAAGTTTAATTCTCGGAAACTGAACTAGAGCAATGATCAACAGGAAAGAGTATAACAATATTTTTTAAAGCACAGATTAAGACAGATCTGGATTTAAATATATTCCCTCTACTTGAAAGTTTCACTAGGCCTGTTCTTTTACTTTTATTAGCTTCATTTCTGCATACCTAAGATTAAAAAGATAAAGTCAGTGGTGTGCCTAGAGCTTTATAAATAGGGGCATGTGACTCACATATTCAAATAAAACCTTTTAAAAAGTTTTGATTCTAAGTCATTGTTAAGCCTGAAGTAAGTTAATAGACTCTCTCATCCCAGAGCCACTCCCTTAAACATTTCCATTTAAAATAATATGCTTTTGTCAGTTATCTGTTTAGCCATACTGAAAGAAACGTTTTCAAAGGCAAGAACACATTTTTGCGGGTGTTCACATTAACACTCCAAATTATTACAGTCACTGTATCTCCCTGTGGGATCGAATACATGTGGATAAAGGGGAAGTAGTCAACTTCCTTAATACTCAAGGCTTGATAATGAAGGATTTTAATATTTTAATCATTCTTGTTTTTTTAAATATATACTTTTTTATTTCAGAGAGGAAAGGAGAGTGAGAGAGATACAGAAACATCAATGATGAGAGAGAGTCATTGACTGGCTGCAGCCTGCACACCCCTTACTGGGGATTGAGCTCACAACCAGGGCATGTGCCCTGATTGGGAATCGAACTGGTGACCCCTTGGTTCCTGGGTCAACACTCAACCACTGAGCCACACCTGCCAGGCTTAGTCAATCATTCTTTATAGCAGTGGTTCTCAACCTTTCTAATGCCTCGACCCTTTAGTATAGTTCCTCGTGTTGTGGTGACCCCCAACCATAAAATTATTTTCGTTACTACTTCATAACTGTATAATTTTGCTACTGTTATGAATTGTAATCTAAATATCTATGTTTTCTGATGGCCTTAGGTGACCCTGCTAGTGGTTATCAACCTGTGGGTCTTGACCGACAATCTGTCATGACCCACAGGTTGAGAACCACTGCCATAGAGCCTAAGACCATCGGAAAACACAGATATTTACAGTATGACTCATAACAGTAGCAAAATTACAGTTATGTAGTAGCAACGGAAATAATTTTATGGTTGGGGGTCACCAAACACGAGGAACTGTATTAAAGGATCGTGGCATTAGAAAGGTTGATAACCACTGCTTTATAGGGAAGTGACATGGGATTCACCACACTCTGAAATCAGTTATCATCATTGTTACTTGGAAGGAACAAGAACAAAAATATTAGGAAGCTCTTAAAACAGGTTTGGTTATTACAATAGAATATCATCCTTGGGGCCCAGCCAGTGTGACTCTGTGGTTGATCACAGACCTATAAATCAGGAGGTCATGGTTCAATTCCTGGTCAGGGAACTTGTCCAGTGGGGGGTTGGGGGGGCATTCAAGGAACAGCTGATTAGTGATTCTCTCTCATCATTCATGTTTTTATCTCTCTCTCTTCTTCTTGCTTCCTCTCTGAAATGTCATCCTTGGAGCTTCTCATTGGCCTAAGAGCAACTGGTGCAGCTTAAAGCCAAAGTAAGACCTTCTATCTAGAGTTGGTCAAACTCCATGACTTGGTAACAGCTAAGAAAAATAAAATAAAATAAAATAAAATAAAATAAAATAAAATAAAATAAAATAAAAAGGCAACAGTATCCTAATGCTTTAAAATGGGTAACTTCTTGCTTTATGGGAGTCCTGCTCTCTTTCAGTATATTACCTAAGAATTTGGACATTATTTACTCACTAACATTACATTAAAAGGGAGAAGTGAGAGATGGAATGTCTCTTTTGAAGCTCGTGTTAATTTTTCCTGATTATTTTCCCTTAAAAATGTCATTATCATATCCACAAAGGATCTAAAATCAGTATGAAGTCAAGTAGAGAAATAAACAAACCTCTCAGAATGCCTTTAGCAACAATTGGCAGCGATGTCAGTCCCCTCAGCCATTTAATATCCTCCCAGCTGATGGATGGGTCTATAGCTTTTGCCACATATGCAGCAAGTCCACTGTTGTCGCCAAAATTTTCCTTTGGAGAAAATGCTAAATCATTGGTTTCAAAATTTTTCATCCTGAAATAAAGAGATATATAAAATGAGAAACACCTCAAAGATATCTTTACAATGACTCACTCAAAAGGAAAAGAAAAGTTACCCTTTTCAAATCCATTGCTTGTTCACTCCTCAACCATCTAAAGCAGTGATTTTCAACCTTTTTCATATCATGGCACATAAAAGTTAATTACTGAAATTCTGTGGCACACCAAAAAATATATTTTTTGTTGATATAACCAAAAAATTGGTGTAATTTTGATTCATTTACCATGGACAACTATTGTGTTTGCTGTTGTCATTTTTTTAATTTGACAATCTATGGGGGGAAAGGTCAGTGCCTCTGACTAAATAAATAGTCAGGTATTGCATGTTTTAAAAATTGCCCACTGGTTGAAAATCACTAATCTATAGGTTGGTTTCAATTATATTTTCCCTTTTTTAAATATAGCTTTATTGATTTCAGAGAGGAAGGGAAAAGGAGAGAGAGAGATGGCTGCCTCCTACATGCCCCCGACTGGAGATCGATCAAGCATACAACCCTGCTAGCCAGACTTTTCTTTGGGTAAAAATATAGCTGTACATTGACCTCTGACTTAGTCATAACTCTTTTTTCCCTTGCACTAACTCTGCCATTGAATATAGAAAGTATCTTGGAGCCATAACTATAACAATTTTATGTAAACCTAGAATTACATAGGCACACTATTTTAAAATTATTTTTAAGAGGATCATAAGATTTCCTTTAATATAAAACTAAGCTTAGTGCTTTTTACATTTTAGTGTACTTGCAGCTAAAATAACTGGTTGGGTAGCTTGGGTGGCATATATTATCAAAGAATATGAACATTCACATCCCACATAACTCTACTCAAGCCATTGGCAAAATTTTCACGATAAGTATTAAACAATAAGCTCTATAGTTTCATGGACTTAGGAGGCCCTTACAGGTCATTGAAAATTCTAACTCCATGAGAGGCATACCCATCTATTTGTTGAGTCTTGGTCTGGATTTTAAGGGGAATACTCAAACATCTCTTTTGTAATCAAATGACTAAATGTTGTATATTTTATAACAGACTTTGAGTCTTCCATTGTCATTCTAACTTGAATTAAGCTAATCTTCTGGTCAATAAATATCTCTGTATTATGGAGAACCATCCCATCACTTAGAAATGATAATAAGTGATATTAAATTCCAAACTTTTAAGTAACATTGGTAATAAGTAAAAGGTCTGGTCTGTAGCAAGACCAGAGGGGGGGGGGAAAAAAAAAGAAAAACATCTGTATGTGTATATACTCTGCACAGCACCCCACACCCCTCCCAAACAAGCTACAGTGTTTCAGCAGGGGTGGGGTGAAAGGGTGAAATGGATAGGAAAAAACAGAAACATGGATAAAATTATATAAATAACTGTTGTTATTCTTGGACGGTGCAATGCAGATCAACACTTGAATGAATGTTGCCTTACAGAAATTTCAGGGCACAATGAAGCCTTGTTGTTGCTCTAAAACGTTGTTCAAAGCCAGAAGCCAAGAAAAAGTTTTCAGATATCTTGACAGAGACCCGCGATGGAGTGTTTTACCAATGGCTCTGAAGAAAACCTCCGTGAATGCTATTTTTATTTGAGTTATGACATATACACAAGAAACACTTAAAGCGCCTTCTGATAACCAAAGTATTCCATTTTGTAAGGAAGGAAGGGGGCAACATCAAAATAATAACATGATTACTAATGACTTAATTCTTGAATCCCAGTCTATTTAATGACCCAGAGGTAAGGGATATAATTTCTTCTTTATAAGGAACTCGTTGTGCCTTGAATGTTCCTCAAGTATACTTTTTAATCTAATATAGAAATTATTTTAGCTTTTAGTAAGTTAGCATCATAAAAACAGTAGCAACTTCTAAGAGAAAGTTAAACATTATTAAATCACCAGGGGTAACACCAGTAATGAATATTATGGAGAAATATGTGATATTGTTTTATTATAGTTATTGATAGTATTCCATTAAAGATAAAGCTATATGTCTCTATAGTGGGAAACTAAATAAACAATAACTATCAGTAAAGCCTATGATATCAACTCAATATGAGAGAGACAGAGATTCATAATGCATACAGGAACTGGTACATAGACCCCTAGCCTTTAATTATGTGGTTAGGGAAATGCTTATTTGAGAACATAGCCCTGCTAATCTCTTCCTCAGTGTGGCTGGGCAAGTAAAAGAAAGGTTGAAGGAATGGGTTTTAAGTTTGAGCACAAACCTTTGCTAAAATTCTTATTAGTCATGTTTTATTGGGTAAATCACACATGATCAAATCTAGTTCTGTTTATTGATTCAGCACTACCTATCGAGCACCTACTGTGATGTTTAGGGTAGACCAGTAAATACAGTATAACAGTCAAAAATCCCTGGCCACACTGAGTTGATATTCTAGCAAGAAGAGACAGAAAATAAACAACAAATGTAATCAATAAGTAATTTATGGAGTAAATTAGATTATAAGTGCTATAATAAAATAAATGAAAAGGCCTTGGGAGAGTGGCTCAGCTGGAGAGTTGGAGCACTGTCTCATACACCAAGAGGTTACAGGTTCATACAGGTTTGATCCCCTATCGGGATCCACTGTGCAACTGATCAATGTCTATGTCTCTCTCCCTCTCTCTCTCTCTCTCTCTCTCTCTCTCTCTCTCTCTCTCTCTCTCTCTTTCTTCCAATCCTAAAATTCAATTTAAAATAATCTTTGCTGAATATTTAAATAAATTAATAAATGCATCTTAAAAAGTGCTTCAGAATAAGAGGTAAGTGAGCTGATAGAGGGTTGACTTAAAAATAAAATATGGTAATCAAATTTAGTAGCTTCCTTGAGAAGCTACCTTGTAGAGAAAATGAACAGATTGGTATTATTGGGTATGCTACTTGTTGCTGCTATAGCAAAAGATCACAAATCTAAAGGCTTTAAAATGCACAAACATTATATTGCAGTTGTGGAGGTCAGAAGTCCAGAATGATTCCCACTAGACTACACTCAGGGTGTGGATAGGGCCATTTTCCTTCCGGGGGCTCTAGGGTGGAATCCTTTTCCTTGCCTTTCCTGCTTCTAGAGACCACCTGTGTCCCCTGACCCCAGAGAACATCACTCCAACCTCTGCTTCCATCATCATCTCGCCTCTCTGACTTGGACACTCCTGCCTCCCTCTCATGAAGACCTCTTGGTTGCATTCAGCCTGTGAGATAATCCAGGATAATCTTCCCATCTCAGAGTCAATTTTGCCATGTAAAGTAACAGCTTCACAGGCCCCAAGGATTAGGGACAGGGACATCTTTGGGAATGCTGTTTAATACTGTTATATTGTGAATGTTTTTGTAACCAAAGAATTCAAAGGCTACTGGGCCATATACCTAGTCCACCTTCCCAACTACCCTGTTTCCCCCAAAATAAGACAGTGTCTTATATTATTTTTTTTCTCCCAAAGTTGTGCTAGGTCTTATTTTCAGGGGATATCTTATCTTTCCATGCGCTAGGTCTTATTTTCAGAGGATGTCTTATTTTCGGGGAAACACAGTATTTTTCTCTCCAAAACCTCTCCAAGATCCCCACACATACTGTGTTTCTGTTCTGATCTCTACTGTTTATTTTTATGTTCCTTTCCCACTATAAAGACAGGTAGACCCATCCCTGATATAAAAACATAGGAAAAGTGAAGAAGTGAGCGGTGCGTTGATTTGGGGGAAGAGTATTACAGGCAGAGGGAAGAATCAGTTCTGAGGCCCTAGAACATTAGCACGCCTGGTGAGTTGAAGGAAGAGTAGGGTTGCCAGTGTGGCTCAATGAGTAAGGATGAGGATGCTAGGAGATGGGGTCAGGGAAGTAATGAGGAGGGAGCTGCTCATGTTGGCCTCAGAGGCTACTTTTATCATGAGAGACCTGGGAAGACAATGGCATTCTGATCCTTTTGTGTGTGTGATCTGTTCTGGTGCTCTCATTAATAAATCATGTTGGGGCTTAAGGAAGCATGTCCCCAGGCAAATCACCAAAGGGGTAGGTGTCATGATTTACCTTGAATGTAGTCATTGGAAATCCCTTTTCTTCTCTTTCCTCTGCCTTGGCATTACACTCAAGAGCCAGATCCTTACCCAGAGAAAATGGACTGTCCCCTGGGGTGTGGACACAGACAAGGCCCTGCGTCAGAACCCTGGCTTCATTCCTGGGTTCTTCCAAGAGCAGATGAGTATTCTCCTTACCCTCTCCCCCTCACTGTCAGGAACCTCTGTGCCATGCAGAATGTACACACACGCATGTGTTTTGCATCGAGACCAAGCAGAGATGACCAAACTCCTGAACTCTGGCTGGTCCCAGATGCCAAGAGTCAGAGCCCTCCCCCACAGCGGCAGAGGAAGTAGCAAGGGCTGGAAGGAGCCACTGCTTTACAGACTCATTCTCCTCTGGATTTCCTGCCTGCCTCGCCTGCCAAACCTCACTTGTGCAAAGCCCGGCTTCACCTTCTATGAGTCAGGTCAGCTGCGGAAAGAAACCTGATTTCATATCAGGCCGGAACAGAGAAGCTTTTCGGTTGTATGTGGCCTCAGGCGGAAACCTGGGCCCCCCATTAGTGGGCTCTGCCTTCGACTGCTGAGTGTGGGCCACTGGGAAGCCAAGCAGAGGAGCTGGCCCGCCTGCAGCCCACCAGGACCAGCAAGGCCAGAGGGCACTCTGGGGGTGCGGCACCCAGCCCTGGGGTGTTTCCTGCCTGCTCAGTGATCTGGGCAAATTGCTCACTATTTGATCATCTTCAGACTGGAGACGTGACAAGCCACTCCTGTGCACAGGGACAGCTAAAAAGAGCCTTTGTCTCATGGTCTTGTGGGTCATCTGGGCGGGAGCCTGGGAGCAAAGGAAAGCGGGGGGAGCGGGGGGGGGGGGGAAGAAAGCAAATCCCGCTCCTGACTGAGTGGCATGGCACGGAAGGAGCAAGACATGGCAGCCAGAAGCAGCAACTATGTCATTTCCCATGTCTAAATACCTGCCACTGTGAACATCTTATTTTTAAAAATATATATTTTATTGATTTTTTTACAGAGAGGAGGGGAGAGGGATAGAGAGTTAGAAATATTGATGAGAGAGAAACATCAATCAGCTGCCTCCTGCATGCCTCCTATTGGGGATGTGCCTGTAACCAAGGTACTTGGCCCTTGATGGAAATCAAACCTGGGACCTTTCAGTCCACAGGCCAATGCTCTATCCACTGAGCCAAACCAGTTAGGGGTGTGAACACCTTTTGTCATGCAGAGCGAGAAAGTGCTTCCTGAGCTGCAGAAACAACCCTACTGTTTTTACTATTGTTGTTGTTGTTAGTCATATTAACAGGAGGAGGGGAAAATAGCAAACTCCTTTTGAAATGGCAAAAGGAAAATATTGAGGAATGTTTCCTGTTAGAAGCCTTGAATGGCATACTATTATAATTTTAGAAAGTCTAAAAATAATAATAATAAGGTAATCAAAACAGAGAAATAATGTGAATACAGATCTCATGTAGAGAAATTTGAAGCCATCTACTTGCTGATGAATTCGGCCAAATGTAGGAATATGTCAGGGGCCTTTTACTTTTATTTTCTTGGAAAGACAGGGTGTCTGGGTAATCCTGGGTCTGGGAAACAGGAAGCAGGTCTGAGGGGAGAGCATGTTCTCCTTCTGTCATTGGCCACTGAAGGTACCATATGCAGAAATAATATCCTAAACCTGCTGGAGTTTGAGAACATCGCACTGATAACTTACATAGGGCAAGATTTGATGCACAAAAGTTTATACCCAGAGAGGTACGTACTCAGCAGAGCTATAGGACAGCTGTGTGACATCCAGGACTGTAGATGGACTTATGTGCTGGTTGTGATATATCCTATTCTATAACATATGCAGAATTCCTGGCTTCCATCAGTCTTCTTGTCCTTGTATGGAATGCTGATTTGATTTTGAATCTTCCAGATTTGTGAGCTTTCAGAAGGGTTAATGTTAAATGTAGCCATAATAAGCAACAGCCCATGTAAAACAAGGTCTAGGATCCAAAGGAGGCATACCTCGTTGTTTCCTATCCTCCCATGGAGGCTTTCAAATCCCTTCATCTAAATGTCTTCTATTACAACTAATATGTTGATTCCTGTTCAAAGGTGTTTAACCCTGACAGTTATCATTGCTATGAAAAATCCTGAAAGCAGATTTTGGTGGGAACTGGGAAAAGATAAAATAAAAGGGAAAAGAGGTCTATAGTTTAGGGAGGTTGGGGTCTTTCTTAGTAAACTCCACTGAAGTCCCAGCTTTATTAAATATTATCCTAATTCTAAATTATTACAGGAAAAAAAAGGACAATTCCTTGCTACTGCCCAAGCTGACTGACTTAATGAAAACATTATTGTTCAGCCATAGATTACTAGACACATTGTTCATGCTAATATGAGTGAGTGCATGAATGAATGAACCCATGAATAAGTGAGTTAAAGTTCATCTACAATTATATAGGGATATTGCAGCCCTGGCCAGGTAAACTCAGATGGTTAAAGCACCATCCTGATACACCAAGGTTGCAAGTTCGATCCCCAGTCAAGACATATATAAGAGTCAACCAATGAGTGCATAAATGGGTGGAACAACAATCAATCTCTCTCTTATTCAAACCAATAAATAAATTTTAAAAGAGGGCTATTGCTCAAAGAAATCATTGATAAGGAATCAAGCATGTGGCTTCTTTTGCCTCCACTCTTTAAGTTTTCTTCAATCTTCCTAGCCCAGAAACGATGAAAAATAGAAATTACTAGGTGGCTCTGTGATTTCAACAAGACCTAAGATATTGGGATCACAATAAAATTGTATCCTGGGCTATATTAAGTATCATCTATCTATATGGCATTTCATTCTTCTCCAAGCCCTTAATGCTCTCTGATACATAACTTTGACTTTTATAAATATATGGGCAATTTCTATCCCTCTTTATAGCTCAAGTATGTAACACCCACTAAATAGATGTGATTTGCTGGAAATTATGGGGATATTTGGCAAGGACACTATCCCTAGAATCCAGACCCTATCAGCCCTAGACAAGATGCCTCTCAACCATACTTAGGGTGCAACATTCTGTGAAAAACTAATTCCCCAAGACACTCACTTGGATACTAGAGAGAACTTTTGGAACTGGCTCATGGCAAGAGCAAAGAGAATTAGAAAAATATCTCAGGGGCCCAGGAGACCAGAGACCGATGGTTACCTGAGCTGCGGTGGCAGCTTGAATCTGTTTCGCACATCGTCAAAGCGGTTGCCCAGATAAGGGGTGTCCACTGTCACAAATATGGCCTTGTATCCCATCCGTTCGGCCCGCCGCACGAGCTGCTTGGTAACTTCCCGGTCCTTGTAGATGTACAGCTGCAGCCAGCGAAGCGCCTCACGGCCGGCCTTTGCCACTTCTTCAATGGAGGAGGTGGCCCAGGAACTCAGCATCATGCCCGTTCCCAGTGACCTGCAGGCTGAGAAAGAAAGAAAGAAGGGAGAAGAGCAAGGCAAGCCTGGTATGTTCCCATTCCAAATACTTCAGCTGTAGCGTAAGGGGTAAAGAATCTACAAGGGCAGTTTGGCAAAAAGAAGTCAAATCTTTCAAAAGTTAGAAATATGCATTTCCCAAACACACTGTGAATTTATCTTGAAGACAAAAATGAGTCATGTAGTCAAAGGTGTTCCAAATATAAGATAAAAAAGTTGGGGAAAATCTGACATCTAACCGTAGGGGTTGGATATAATATAGTTCATATTTAAAATGAAATGTACACTCCATTAAAGTTAATATTTTTGTGATCATTAATTTGGTATCAACTTGGCTAAGCCATGGTAGCCAGATACTGGCTTAAGCATGCTTGGATGTTGCTGTGAAGTTATTTTTTTAGGTGAGATTCACATTTAAATCAGCATACTTTGAGGAAGGCAAATTACTCTCTGTGTGTGGAGGGGCCTCATCTAATCAGCTGAGGACCTTAAGGAAAAGACTGACCCTCCCTCAGGAAGAGGGAATTCTGTCAGCAGTCTTTCTTCAGGCTCAAATTACAACATCAACTTGTCTCAGGATCTCCATCCTGACAGCTTACCTTAAAGATTTTGGACTTGCCAGCCTCCACAAGTATATGAGGCAATTCCTTAAATAGTTAGATAGATAGATGATAGATATTCCTCTCTCTTTTTTTTCTCTCTCTCCCCATAAATCCTATCTAATAAAAGAGTAATTGCAAATTGACTGTCACCCTAACACACAAGATGACTGCCCCCATGTGGTCAAAGATGGCTGCCCCCATGTGGACACAAGATGGCTGCCACAAAATGGCCAGCAGAGGAGGGCGGTTGGGAGGGACCAGGCTTGCAAAGGAGGACAGTTGGGGGTGATTAAGCCTGCAGGGGAGGGAAGTTAGGGGAGGTAGGATTGGGACTAAACAGGCAGTCAGACATCCCTCAAGGGGGTCCCACATTGGAGAGGGTGCAGGCTGGGCTGAGGGATACACCCCCTAAGCACAAATTTCATGCCAGGCTTCTAGTATGTATGTGTGTGTATATATCTAACCTAATAATAGAGTAATATGCAAATTAACCATCACTCTGCTACACAAGTCACACCCACCAGCCAATCAGAGCGAGTATGCAAACTAACCAAACAAAGGTGGTGGTTAATTTGCATACACAGAAGGAGGGAGAACTGAAGACTGAAGACAGCATAGAAGGAAGAGGGAGGGAAAGTGGAAAGCAAGGCGGCTGCTGCTGTTGGAGGGAAAGCACTGGCAGCGTGTGCAGGGTGGGGCAGGGTGAGGTACACAGCAGGCACACGCAGCTGTGGAGGCAATGGACAGCAGCAGGGGTGGCGGGGGCAGCAGGTAGGGGTGCACAGCAGCAGGCCAGAGGGGGCGGCAGCGGGCACAGCCATGGAGGCAGCAGTGGTGGGCGCAGTGGGTTTGGAGTGCAGGGCAAGGCACACTGTGGTGGCAGCACATGCGGCCACAAAAAAGGTGGGGGAGGTGGCCACGGGCGTGGTGGGGTGGGCGGGATGGGTGGGGCGCCACAGGAGATGTGGGGGTGGTGGGAGGGAAGCCCACCAGAAATCTTGAAGGAATATTCCTGCAACAGGTGCCATATATATATATATATATATATATATATATATATATATATATATATAGTATTTTTCAATTTTAAACTTTTTAAAATTTTATCTTTAAAAATGTTGTTAAAGATATATTCTACCATTTATGTTGCCTTTTAAAACTTTATAAAATACATATACTAGACACTCCAAGTAGAAACAGTTTCCTCACATCCCTTTGAGCAAGATATCAATAAATGAGCAAATAAATGAAACATTAGATAAATTACTCTATTTATCTCAGAGAACTTGAAAGAACATAGGTAATAATCCTTGCTCCAAAAATAGGTAGTAAAATTGGGGTCAGCTTTAATGGAGGAGAAACTGACATAATGTGTATATGCTATATACCAAATATGCCAAGAGATAAATAATAAACATATAAAATGGAATATATGATCCTGGGTCATTCGACTTATCTGTGTGCCCACCACAGACTAAATGAAAATAAAAGTAGTTGTGCAAGTGACACAGAGGGTGATGATGAGAATCAAGTGACCTGCTGCTTATAAAGCAACTTTAAGAGTTTATAAAGTCTCCATGCTTCTCAAACTTTACTGGACAATCCCCAGAGTGTTTGCAGAAAGATTGACTGTAAGACCTGCCTCCAGCATTTCTTACTCAATAGGTCTGAAATGGGGCCCAAGTACCAGCCTTTGTAACCAGTGCCAGGATGCTGATGTTGCTGGTCCCGGACCATGTTTTGGTAGTAGCATTATCATTTGGTGGTAAAATGCTAAGTTCAAATGATAATAAAATGGATTTTGTTTTCAACACCTGTTGCTTTTTCTATGCGTTTTATGGTGGTTCCTATCCCTGTTCTTCAGATCATGGGCCAGATAATGAAGACCTGCGCTGCAGATTATATTGTCTGTATACCACTAATCTGTTCCCTCCAAGTGTTGCTTTGATAATCTTTCTCAGAAGGACTCATGGCTGCAAAATGTTGTCCAACAATCCACACTTTATTGAGTAGTAACATATCAGACTATTATTGTCTGATCTTTATTAAGATATGTTAATATGGAGATGGCTCAGACCATCGCTGTTATTTGGGAGGAACACCTGGGGACATTGATTGCTTAGGTTAGAATCCCCTAACCATCAATTTACCATGAAGAAATTATGTCCTGAAGAGGATGTGAACTGACAAAGGTCACATGGAGATGGGCAGCAGAGCGGGAGAAGAACACAGCATGTGTGTCCACTCCCCAAAGGGATCCTCCTAGAACTCCCAAGTGCCCAAAAAACTTCCCTGGAATCAACATGGATCAATGTGCCTCGAATCCTTCAGGGCCATGGACAACAAGGAAGCAGGTTTGCCACATGCCTGAGGGGCGCTACCAAGCTGCCAACTCTGGGAAAACATGGAAACTCAGTGAGCAATGGGTAAGGCCTACCACACTGTAAGGGCAGAGTGTGGCTGCACAGATGGTCCAGCTAATGGACCATCAAATGTTAGAGCACCATTTTGTAGTTTACACTAATGCATCAGCAGCACTGCCAATAAAGATCAAAAACATTCAAAAGGAGCCTGACCAGCGTGGTTCAGTGGCTGTGCATTGACCTATGAACCAGGAGGTCCTGGTTTGATTCCCAGTCAGGGCACATGCAGGGGTTGTGGACTCGATCCTCAATGTGGGGCATGCATCGTTGATGCTTCTATTAATATTTCTCTCTCCCTCTCCCTTTCTCTCTGAAATTAATAAAAATATATTTTTTAAAAACTCAAAAGGATACAAATCATTAAAATCCTACAAACCAATGCATCAAAAATATTTACATGCCCTAAACCATCACATTTGCATGTCAGCGCTCACAACATTTTGCCCAACATCCTTTGGCATATATGTTCAGAGAAAAGCAAGGTCAGTCCATGCCATCTATTTCCCAAGTCTCTCAGCTCCAATACCAATGTCTCCTGATGTTATTGGTGCTAAGTATTTATTTTTCAATGACTGAATCATAGGAGCTGAAACTTTGGATCAGGGTCCCCCTTGTTTCCAGTTGTAGGCAGTCAGTATTTGGTGACTTGATGAATTTAGTGAGACTTCTTAATCAAGTCACCAAATCACTGCTTTTTGCTGAAATTTTCAAATGGTTCCTATTTAACATTTCTTTATCTTCTTTATGTAGAGATAAAAGTAATACATTATGCCATCTCTATAGGAAAATGCTTTAACACACTAAAAGAGACACTAGTAAGCTATCAGGCATTGAAGCATCAAAGACAAGGACAAAAGCATCAAAGATTATATATATATATATATATATATATATATATATATATATATATATATCCTAGGAAATAAAATCTGTATTCCCAAAAAATAGGACATAATGGACTGAAAATCAGAGGCTTGGGCTACAGTCCTAGCCTTGCCCTCCACAAAACACATGTCATCTGCAAAATAGCCATGACCATAGCTGCTGCCCTGTCCTCTCATAGGATTGCTGACAAGTCCACTGAGACCATGTCTACAGACATTTTCTGTGTGAATGCTGAAGAGATGCGTTGTTAAGGGTTCGTGAGGGAATGCCTAACACTATTTTGCCAAAGAAGTCCTACATAGCTTTTAAAAGTTTCCTCATCTTGCCAAGGACCTGGGTTTCTCAACATCTCCACACTCAGCTCTCCTCTGCAACAATTTCCATGCTTAAGACACCCAATCATCTTTTTTCTTGCACATATGGCGTCAAAGGCTTGCCACCCTAAGGAAGAACACTCTTAAAAGACAGGAATCTTCTCCAGGCCAAGGGATTACCTGCTAGGTCCTCTGTAGGGAGAGAATGTCAAAGGAGATAATTCCTACATTCCAAGGGTACACAGCCGCTTTGAAAAGCCAGGGACAAAACAACTGCAAATAATACTGAGGGGCAGCAGAATCAGCCCCCCACACACACATACACACCCCACCCCTACCTTTTATCTGTCCATGGACTTCCTAATAGAGCACTTCAGAATAGAGCTAAAGGGCTATAGTATTTGCATACTCTAGCCATCAAACAATAATACCTGGAAGAAATGTGTTTTTTGTTTTTTAAATTTTCACTACATTCTTCTGTTTCTCTGCTCTTTCATTTCCCTGCTGGGACACTTACATTCTGCAGGTGTTTGGTGATGGTGACACTGGGAAGCCTGCAACCAAAGTACATGCCTTTGACCAGAAGGGTCCAACCCGTGACCCTTCAGTCCACAGGCTGATGCTCAAACCACTGAGAAAACCCAGCTAGGGTTGTACTCTCTTTTCTTAGTCATTCTTTTTCCTTTCATTTTACTTTGAAAACCAAATCCTATGAGGAGAGTCCAAAATGAAGCAAGAGAGAAAGAGAGAGAGAGAGAGAGAG